CAATGTAGAGGTTAAGATGCACGTTATTTCCGACGTGACGCGCAATTTCACGTCAAATTTGGCGTAAAACTCCAAATTTCGACGTGAACTGCAGGTCACTTGCGTTGTTTTTCGACGCGCGAGCCCAACAACGCGAGCTGAACTGTCACGTCACGTCAGAAATAACGTGCATCTTAACCTCTCTATTAAAAAAATATCTACCTGATTTTCCTCTGGCTTTGTATTTTTTTAATATCTCTACTTCCAGCTTCCACTCCACCCATCATCAAGTTTTCATCGCCAATACTGAGAGCTACGATTAACAAGCAAATCACGTTGACCGTTTCCGCAACGCCCTTCAACGCCAATATCGAGACGATAACGCTGGCCCGTTCCGTGGGTCTGCCAGAAAAGGACTACAAGATAACTCGTTCATCGAGCATCGAGCTCAAATTCCTCTGGACTCCCCGGACGCGCACGCCGGGTACGATATCGCTTGCCTTCGCCGCTACGGACACCAACAACCAGCGAACGGAGGAGTCCGTCCGCGTGACACTGTGCAGTTGTCACGGTACGTGCGAGGAGAGGCTGGAGTCTCTGGAGGAGTTCACTCTCCTGGAGTGTGCCGTGTGCGATGCAGGTGAGTGATGAGATTCCTCCTCTGTCGTTCTCTGTCCCGTTCACACACACACACACATACACATAAACATACACACACATACGCACGCACACACACACACACACACACACACACACACACACACACACACACACACATGCACACGCACACACACATATGCACACACACACACACACACACACACACACACACACGCACACACATAGGGGAAGCTGTGTTGCAACTCCGAGTTTCGCGTAGTCACGATCACCAGGCAAAATAATAATCATAGTAATTCCTCTCTGTTCGTTTGGCTGCAGGACGCACGGGTAGGTTGTGCGAGGAAGACATCAACTCATGCTTCGGCTTCCCCTGCGCTCTCCATCGTGCGTGCATCGACCTGAAGGCACCGAAGAGCGGCCACACGTGCAGCGCCTGTGCGGCTGGGTATGAGGACGACAAGGACGACGCCTCGCTCTGTGCCAACGTGAACGAGTGCAAGAATAAGCTGCTGCACAACTGCCACGACGTCAATAGCAAGTGTGTGGACACGGTGGGTTCGTTCCAGTGTGTCTGCAATCCAGGATACCAGCAGGACAGTAACGGCAAATGTACCGGTATGTCTAGGGCATGTCTAGACGTGTGTGTGTGGGGGGGGGGGGGGGCGTGCGTGTGTGTGTGTGCGGGTGTGTGTGCGCGGGTGTGTGCGTGTGCGTGTATATGGAGGAGTGTCGAATGCATTCTTTGATCTTCTGTACAATAAGCCTGTTGCAGATTGCCACGCATAGAAGGTATGAGTAATGTATATGAGTGGGCTGAGATCATGGTCAAAGAATTCACTGCTCAACACTCCCTTACAAGCCAACTGTTGTGTCTGCAAGTTGTTATACTTCAACTACTGTATTCCGTTGTGCTTCGTCACATTATCACCATGTTCTGATTTGAGAACGGCAGTGGTACGAGCAGCCTCATCAGGTTCACAACTTGCTTTGTCTCTCCATGTGGTTCCAACTCCAATCAACCGTTGCATCTATGGGTCACGTGATGTCGGCCATGTTGGTTCCACTGTCCACGTGCCATGATCACTTTCTGCACGAATCTTGTCACATGATCACTTTCTGCACAAATCTTGTCACATGACACTTTCTGCACAAATCTTGTCACATGACACTTTCTGTGCAAATCTTGTCACATGAAAAGACCACTCTATACCGTATTTTCCCTGAATATGTCTCTTCTTCCATTACAGACATTGATGAATGCAAGATAGCTACCAATACGGCGTGCAATGCCAAGAACTCACTGTGCACGAATACGCAGGGAAGCTACCAATGCTCATGCCAGCCAGGGTTCAGCGGAACTGGAGAGTCGGCCACGGGTGGATGTATAGGTGAGTCAGCGAGGCCAGACCACACTGCCGTATGCTGTTTACATGTCCTTTGAATAGCCTAAGTACAAAGTCTGAAGAAAATGCTGAACGGTCTCATAGAAGCCAGCTGTGGTGCCAGTACGTTGAACACACAGTCCAGCTTGACTGAATTCCAGCTTCTGTCTGATATCTCGTGTTTTTATTCATTTATTTTATTCAAAATCTCCTGGCTCGTCGTAAGACTGCCAATATTTTTATGAGAAGTCGGGCGGTGGCCAACCACAGCGAACCAAATAATAAGCTGTTTTGTGATTGATTGTGAATTCTTGTAGAAATCAATATTTGCATCACCGATGCTCATGGTTGTAATGCTGAGGCTCAGTGCGTGAAGTCTCAGCAAAATACTCTCTGCGTCTGTGCCGACGGACAGCTGGAATCTGTGGACAAGAACTGCGACGGTAGGCTTCCCTTGTGTGTGTGTGTGTGTGTGTGTGTGTGTGTGTGTGTGTGTGTGTGTGTGTGTGTGTGTGTGT